TATGACATGAACTCTAGAACCATTATGTGGGTATACCACTGCCTGGCTGTGGGACCTTGGATAAGCCATTCCACCTCAGTGTCCTCACCTGTAGAATGGAGGTGACAAGGGTGCCTGCTTCACAGGATCATGATGATGGCTAAGTGAGTTACATCTTCGGAGCGCTCAGCACAGTGCCTGAGTGCCAAAAGTGCCATATCAGCAACTGGGAGACAAAAATAGATGCGGGAGGAGAGTGGAGTGAACTGAGGGTAGTGGCCTGGGCACAGGGTCCTGAGCTCCACTCTGGTTCTGCTGGTGATTAAGAGCAAGTCCTCTTCCCTCTTTGGCCGGGTTCCTGCCCACTCAGGTGGGGGCTGGATATTTACCGCTGCTCCCTCTGCATGATCTGCATACCTCTGGCCTCTCCCAGAGCTACAGTTTCAGAGCTGGCCCAGGCGGGCCTGATGGTGAAACTGGAGCTGGAATATTTTGTTCCCACGAGGAAGGGAGTCCCACTGGCTCTTTTAAAAGGCACACACTATTTTGCAAATCAGGTAACATCCGATCTCAGTGAAGGGACCAATTGTGTGGCTGAGATAGAAAACCCTGCAGATTTGTAATCTCCCATCAGTCTTTGGTTTCTTTTCTTTCCCTTGAATTGGGAGTGAAAGAGGTCTTTGAAAATGACACTTTGGAAACTCCCGGAGTCAAGAATCCCAGGTCTCAGATGGCTTCCACCTGCCCCTAAACCCACCTGCATAGCTGCTCCTCCCCTGATACAGGGGGCTTGCACGTGATTTTTTTGGATCCTATGTGCAATCTGACTCTCGCACACTGCCCTGGGACTCTAGGCCAGTCGGTCAGCAGTTGGAGCTCCCAGTGCCCTGTCCCTCTATGGGCACCAGCAGAACAGCCTCCTCCTGCTACTCACCTGGGCAGCAGAGCTGGCTGTGCATGAGGGGCAGAAGGTTGAGGTTTGGGCGGGGGGCTGTAAGAGGTTAGGGATGCAATAGAGCTCCCAGCTGGGACTGGGACGTCAACGCAGTCCTGGGGTGGAGGAGGCTCCCTCCTCCCTCTGAAGCCGGGCTCTGATCCCTGTTACTACATGCCCCATTTACAACTACAGCCTCATCTAACCTGGGCCCTGTCCAGGGGCTCAGGCAACTCCAATATGGCAAAAGGGCAGACCAGGCCAGCCTGAAGGGCCTGGGCTTCCTCCCGCCTCCTCCTCTGCAGCATGGCAGGAGGGGGTGTGGAGAGTAACAGGGCCTTTCCTTAGCTTCAGGAGAAGTGATGCCCACCACCAGCTGGGAAAGATAGGGACATCTGGGCTCCCATGTGAGCCCCTTCAATTTCTCCCCCTAATCCTTGATACTTGTCTGGTCCCTCCCTTTAGTGCCAGAAGCAGCTCCTGAAGTCTCCAAGCTCACACGGAGTCACTGCCGCTTGAGGGCTCCCAGACCACTGAGAAATGTCTAAATTCTTATCTGTGCCAGTCCCTCCTTTTGTCGAGCCCCACTCCTTTCTAGTTGCCTTTTACTTTGCTCAGAAATCCCATAGAGATTCCTCCTCCGCAGGACACCTTCTCTGGGCCTGGAGTTCTCTGTTTGTTTTGCTCCACTTAGGAAACTCTAGGGCCTGGTTCCAACTCCACCTGTTCTGCTTCGTGCAGCCTCCCACAGTAAGAAGCTGGTCTTTCTCTGAGCTGCCTGTCTGTAGCAGTCAGGATGCACTTCCCACACCCTGAGCTCCCCCAGGAAAGCATCCCTGCCAAATTCCCTGCTGGGTCCCAGCACAGGACCTGGGGCTGGGCAGGTACCTGAGCTTTGTTTATAGAGTCCACTGGAAGCAGCCACATCCCCCTTTCATTTTCACTTTTGAAAGCTGTTTGTTCTTGAAATTCTATGTGACAGTGGTAGAAGGAGAATTAGAGCAGACTTGTTTTGTAGGGGGAGGCAGAAGCTTAATTGTTCTTTGTCTCCATTGCTTGTTTCCTCTGAAACACAGGTTAAAGTGAAGAGAGAAGGCAGCAGGAGGAGGAGGGACCCTCAGCTCTTTTTCCATCAATGCCACCTTCCAGCCACTTGCATGGCCTTACCAGGGAGCCACTACCTCCCCCCTGAGCAGGGGAAAGTCACAAAGAGCAAGATAAGAGCTCACTGCTAGAAGGAGTCATCATCCATGGGTCCTCAGACTCACTCCTGAATAAGGATTCTGAGTTATCTGGAAAGAAGGCACTTCATCAAGTCTGGAAATAAGACCAGGTCATAAACTAATGGAAGCTTAATCCTGAAAGACACAACTCATCATTTCTTGAGTGGGACACCAAAGCTTCAGGAAGGGTAGCAAATAGCTCAAGGTCACACAGAGTCTCGGACAGGACTAGGGTTGGAAGCAGGGCATTTAACTTCTAATCCCGTGTTTTTTCCTGCTGACTTGTGTCCCTTGTGCCTTAGCAGTGATTATCTGTGGCCTCGTGAAATGCCAGCGAAGGGCTGTTTTCCTTGTGGACCACTGTCAGGTGAAAGTCAAGCAATGATTGTTTCTTGAAAGGCATGAAATCTCCCATTTTTAATTCAAAATATATCAAATGGAAATGCACTGAATGCAGCAGCATTTACCATCTTCCTCTCTGTGCCAGGCACGGACTTGGGAGCCTGCAATGAGGACCTTGCCTAGCAGGCCCCCAGGAATCTCTTCCTTTGTGTTGCTTGGGGCTCTAGCACTGCTGGCCAAACAGCACACAACCAAGGAGTCTTCCTCCTCTTGATGCTGCCTATTCTGACTGCAGAGGCAAACTCTGAGCATTAAACTTTGTAAGTATGCCAACTATGAAATGCAAGGATAAAACATCAAATGAGACTAGTCCTTTCTTTCCCACCTGATTAATTCCGTGACACAGGTCCCCCCTCTCTAGAAGCAATGTTCTCAATAGGACAGTGGAGTGGCCTTTTGAGGACTCAGTCACAGCACCAGCTTTGTGGCAGTACCTTGCAGGACTGTGGCAAGGTTCTCTAGAAGGCTGTGTATGCTCTGAATCAGGGACCAGTGTGTGGTGTTGTTTTCCCCCAGTGATCTCACCAAATAGGAAGCTAAGTCTGTCACCTGGCCATTGGAGCACTGCATGCCTCAGGATCACCAGGCAGGAAGGGGGTCACAGCCTGGTGGGGCTGACTGATCCTGACCACCTAGTATAGTTCAGCCCGTGACTCTGCAGCAGAGGTAAGGAAGACTGGATCTGGAATTCAGAGATCCTGTCAGGTGTCTCTTGTATCGCTAGGGCCTGTGGTTAAGGCCAATGGAAATCAACAACCCAATCTAGGCAAGGCTATTAAAGGGCCAGATTGTTCAGGAATGAAGGGTCCACAAAGTCACAGCTAGCTGAGGAGCTTGCTGAATACACAGGAAATACAGAATTAATAATGAAAGAAGAGAGTTATAAATACCAGATACCTCCACCTGACCAGTTCAAAAATAAAAGTCATAGGACCAAGTTTGTAGCTCAGTGCCTGCCTGGAAAGTACAAGGTCTTGAGTTCGAGTTCCAGTACAAAAAAGTTATAGATGCTAAAAAAAGTTACAGTTGTCATGAAAATTTTCTCTTTGTTTTATGAACATGTTTGTGCATACACATGTATATATGTGCCTGGAAAATACCTTTGCATTTGTGTGCGTGTGTGTGTGTGTGTGTAGCAAATATCTTTGGGTTTTCCTTTCTTATTCCCCTATCATGTAGCATAAGCTGCACTGACGTTATATTAAAATTAAGTATTGTTAATTAATTAAATTAAGTATTGTTAAGTTTTCATCATAAAGTAATAACATATTGAGGATAATAAACACTATTCAAGGATATCCCTGCCCCTTCTGGGAAAAGAGCTGGTGTGTTTTCTGTCATACACAGGATGGCTGTATCACCTTGGCAGAATTATGATCTTGTTACTGTCTTTATTTGGAAATTAACTATGGTTTGAAGAGATGGTTGGTAAGAGGTGGACTTGTGATGGTTAATTTTATGAGTCAACTTAACTGGGTCACAGGTTCCTGGATATTCGATCAAACATTGTATCTGTGAGGGTTTTTCTGGATGAGATTAATATATGAATCTGTAGACCAAGTGAAACAGATGGTCTCCCCATTGGGAGTGGGCCCCTTCCAATCTGTTCAAGGCCTTAATAGAACAAAAAACTGACCCTTACATGGGTGTGTGTGTGTGTGTGTGTGTGTGTGTGTGTGTGTGCGCGCGCGGGGGGGGGGGGGGGGGCGGTTCCTACTGCCTGGCTGTCTTCAGATGAGACACTGGTGATTTTTTTGCCTCTATCTTTGGGCTCTAACTAAAACACTGACTTTTCCTGTGTTTTCCAGGCTACCAGCATTAAGATTAGAAAGATAGCTAAGGGAAAAGAGAAAAGGAAAGAAGGAAAAGACCATAGGTATATATGTGTACATATATAGGGGTGCGCATGCATACATATACAAGATAGACAGCTACACTCCTCATCTCTGTTAGTTCATCAAAAACTTTGTGTTTTCACTGTTTGATCATTTTTATGCCTAAAATTTGTAATCTGAGCAACTACTTTTAAGATAATAATATGCAATATATTAAGTAATGCTAATTTCCTATTTTTTGAAATTCTATATTATTTTTATCCTTTTTTGTTTTGTTTTTAAAATTAAAAAAAATATTAGAGAGCTACATCATCAGCTTTCCTAGTCTCCAGCTTGCCAATTGCAGATCTTTGGACTTGTCAGCCTCCAAAACCATATATATATATATATTTTTTTTTTTTTTCCTCTATCCATATACCCGCCACACTATTGGTTCTGTTTTTCTGGACAACTGCAATGCAACATTAAAAAAAAAACCTCTATAAAGAAGCATTACAGCATTAGTCAGTCACAGGCATATAAGAAGAAGGCAGTGGCGGCCTCAGGAAGTGACCCTCCCCCACTCCGGGGCGGGGAAAGATGCTGCTCCGCACCTGTGACCACACATCCCCTTTAGCGCCCACTCACATCAGGGTCCAACTCATCCAGCTCATTCTCCAGAGTCCTGAGCTCTTCTTCTGTGAGGGCGCCCAGGATTTCATCTTCATCCAGGTCACGGTATTTCTCCAGCTCTCGTCTGTAGGACATTGTGGAAACACTTAACTCTGCTTTCTGAGTTTCTGTGCTGATCGATGACCTACCAAGAAGAGAGAATACTCTCAGAAAGGCCCTCCTCAGATTTCCTCTCAAACAAAGGTACGCTTATTTACAGAGTGACCTGAGCACACTTTACAAATTGCCAGGATGATAATTATTATAGTGGAATTGTACATCAAGGTAGACTAATTCTATTTAAAAATGTCCTTAGGGCATGTTATTTGATGAATTGTAGCTGGCTGTAATGGGCATGACTATGAGTTAAGAGTAAATGGTTGAGAGTCCACACCTTTCTATGCAGCTCATGCATCCTTCTCCCACTGGGCTTTCCATTGGTAGGGTCTAGTTTTATACTGTCCTCCTCTCCCCAGGACCCAGCCCAGGGCTGTGCATATAGCAGAAAGTTTCTCATTAACATGAATCCAGTTCCTTTGGTGTCTTATCGCCAACCCTCAGGAGGGGCAGACTCTTCTACTCTTGCAAAAACCGAGCTTGCTTCACACACACTCTGTGTGTGTCTGTCCATACACATCCTTACTTCTGCTTGCCCTGGGCCTCACACTTTCCTTTAATACTGTAGAATGGAATTTAACACTGTGTACAGAGTCAGTACAATGGGTTGATTGTGTCTCCTTCCTATGTTGACATCGTAACTCCTAGTGCTTCAGTAAAGTACCACCATGCAAATAAGAATATAAATTTAATTGGAAATAAATCCTACAGATGTAGCTGCAGATGTAATTAAGTTTAGATGAGGTCATACTGGAGTAGAATGGACCCCTAATCCCATGTAACTAGTGTCCTCAGAGAAAGGGGAAATCTAGACACAAGCACATACAGAAGAAAAATGCTATGTGACCATGCAGACAGAGGTCAGGATGATGTTTCTATAAGCCAAGGACTTTCAAAAGCTTCCAGTAACCCACCAGAATCTAGAAAAGAAGCCATGAATTAATTCCTCGTCATTCCTCCCATTAATTTTGCCTTCAGAAAGAGAGAATTTCCATTACACCTTGATCTTTAACTTCTACCCTCCAGAACTGTGTGACAAAGTTCAGTGATTTGAACCACTCAGTTTGTGGTACTTTGTTACTCGCATACTGACATAATTAGTGTCATCTTTCCACTTTAGACTCGCATGCAAACAAACAAGCAAACATCATGGTTCATCAATAAAATGACTAGTGGAATGTTTCATAGTAAAGAAAAATGAAAACTAAGAAAAGGCAGCCAACCAATCAATCTAAAGCCTTTAATATGTTAAAAACAATGACAGGAATCTAACACAAATTAAAACAAAAATTTGCTAAGCCAACAGAGAAAGTCTACTTCAGAAGGCCAAGAGCAGACTATTAAGGTAAGTCTGGGGGGAGTAACATTGGTAGGAGAAATCCGAGTATGTGCAAGCTGGCTTGATGAGGAGGACTCACTTCCCAAATACAAAAACCCCAGTACCGCCCTTTTCTCCAAGAATGGCTTGGCTCTGTTTGATGTCTTCCTTTAACCAGACCCACAAAATGCAATGTTCGTAACATAAACTGCCCACTGCCCTTGATTCACTTCCATTTACTTCCAAAGAAAGACAACTAGCTGACAATGATCTGATATAGATGGAACAACCTTTGTGAAGGGCCCTGGAAAACAATCTAATTTGGTGTTTTATAACACCAAATTAGAGCTAGGAAAGAGAGAGTATCCATGATCTTCATCGTAGGGTCAAGGCGGACTTTAACGAAGGACTCAGAGGCTTCCAGAACCCACTCACAGGGTGGTCTCCAAACCAGTGTCTCTTAAATGGGCTGCAAAATACAAGAGTTTGGTGTTGCTACAGTTTGGACATGGTTTGCTTCCCCCAAAGATTGCTGGGTTGGAAGCTTCACTCCTGGTGTAGTGGTGTTGCAATGGTGAAACCTTTCAGAGGTGAGGCCTAGCAGGAAGTAATTAGGTCATTGGAGGTCTCTGGAAGGATTGATGCTGGTCTTGTGGAATGAGTTAGTGCTTACAGAGGGAACTGGTTTTAAAAAGAGCAAGAATAACCCTTTCCATTCTCCAGCTTCCTGTATTTTCATGTGAGTTCGCCCTTGTATACACATGCCTACCATGATGCCATCTTCCATGTTGTGATGTAGCTAGGAGGGCCCTCACCAGAGGCCCAACAGTTATGGGGCTGCCTGGCCTTGGATTCTCAGCCTCCAAGCTAAATAAATCTCTTAGAAAATGCACTTAGTGTTCAAACAGGTTTTAGGTTGTACCAAGTTACATAACACCTGAGATCACAGGATTTTGAAAAAAGTTTTGTTGTGCAACTATTCAACAGACATCTCCAAGAGGAACAGGTTGAAAGAAAAGTTCCTCAGTCTTTTTGACAAAACACTATGTCTGAGATATTGCTCTCAAAATTGGAATCTCATGAAACAGAGTTTGGAAAACACAGCCATAGAGCCACCTCTGGGTCACACCAGAGAGGAACTCAGAACCACACAGGAAGGGACACTGATGGATAGGACCAGCCAGGGTACAGATCTGGGGATGTCAGACAGTTTTGGAATCCTTGGAGCTTCTCACACTTGTTATCTTTGCCAGCTGACTCACTTTCTAGATGATTTGCAATGAAAACTTAGAAAAAATAAAATCATGACAGACCTTGAAGGACTGAAAGCAAGGGCAAGGAAATAAGGAGAAGTAAATCCATATCAAGTCCAGCTTGGGCAGAAGAAGAGAGAGAGAGAGAGAGAAGTAGGAGGCAACTCTAGGACTTACAGAAGGGATGAGGGAACCAGGCAGCAGACTGCCCCCAGAAATGCCACCCTGAGAGGTGTAATTGTTTGGTTTCCTGGAGAAGTTTCCTCTTATCACATGCAGGAAAGTTAATAGTCCACTTATGCATCCCAAGGTGCTTAAATGTCTATTTTGTAGAACTTCAAAAGCTCCTTCTAGGGTCCAGTGTCCTGTGAATGTTACAGAGTGATGAAGCATTACATTAAATAAGCTGAGAACTCCTAAGGTAAACTCTGAAGCCGTCAGCTTCAAGCCACACTCATCCAGTTGGCTCGCAGGGGCAGCTTCTACAAAGCAACACTATGGTCAGTCTTCTGGGGAACTGGGGAAGAAACAGGGCAAGAAAGAGATGAAACCAGCCTATTAACAGAGCCTACTGCAAATTCAATCTTACAACATAGCTTAGAAGGAAGGACTGAATTACATAACTGTTAAAGCAAGTCCTCTTATTGCTAGTCAGAGAAGAGACAGGGGTGGAGCACAGAGGCAGAGTGCTAGCTGTAATGGTAAGTCCTCAGATGATGCTTGCTAAGTTCCTTTCTTTCTCAGAGGCTTCATCTGTTCATCCATAAAATGATAGAACTGGATTGCTTGGGTGGTTCTGATTTTTTATTTTTTTTTGGTACCAAGGATAGAACTTATGACCTTGTGCTTGCCAGGCAGGCACTTATGCTGCTGAGCTATATCCCCAGATACTTTTTGGGGGGCATGGGGGGGTGGTTTGTGGTACCAGGGATCCAACTCATGACCTCGTGCTTGCCAGATAGGTGCTTATGCCACTGAGCTAAATCCCCAGCCCTTGGGTGGTTTTTAAACTACATCCAAAAAAGGTCTCTGTGAAGGTTTCCCCAAACTCCTGAAAGGACTTAGGGATAAGTGAAGGGCTCACCTTTGATTTTACCTGATGTAATTATTTGGAATTATCGGTAAGATTTTCCTTGAAGGATTCTATTGCTCAAGTAAGTTGAAAATCACTGGGTATCTTTCTTGGCTGTGTAGAGTATAGTGGTGGTCATCCCAAAGGATGTTAGATGGACCAGGCGTTAACAAGCAATGAGGGTGCAGCCTGGGGCTCATACAGCCCATACGGGCTCAACACATGGCAGCTATTATAAGGAAGCCTCTGCTGTGGGAGTCTCACATACATACAGTCATCAGATTGCGAGGCCCCTAAGGGGAGGACTTATGTCTTGCTTGTTTTCATGTTTCTAGGGCCTAACCCTGTGCCTGTCCCGTGGTGCAGAGGTACAGGCATGAACACACCTGACTTCTGGCTTATCACCCTTGAAAGCTTGGGCAAGTCCTTTCTTGCTTCTGATCCTGTTTATTTACCTCTATATTTAAAATTTTTTATTAGCATATGCTTATGGTAATGAATATATTCATGATGAAGTACTGGTTGATGTTCACATCACATCTTAATCCTTAATGGATGCCTTACTGATCCATGTTTAACAGGCAAGATTTGATCCAGTTTTGGAGAGGATGGGGAGCTGGGAACCCAACAGGAAGGGACAGCAGGAAGGAGGTGATCATGCCACTGGTGCCCCCAGAACAACCCCTCTGTTACCCACAGCTAAATAAATTTAAAACACACTAAGAAATTAAATCTTCTAAATCTTATATCTATCTCACACTTACAGCCCATCAGGCTGACCTTACTTCTCCAGGGTAAAAGCCTCAAGTCTGCTAAACATCAAAAAATAGAATTTACGAGCTGTGCCAGGAAGCAAAACTCCGCAGGTTGGACAGTAAATACAAGCATGCCAAGCTCTGAGGGCATCTATCAGGAAAGCTGCAGGAAGGAAAGCTCGTGGAAGGGGGCTCCTGGAGCACACAGGAAGTAGACAGGGTCACTTCCGCCGATGCCTCCTCCAGCATCTGCCTGTGTGGGGACATTTGGCAAGGAGACAACAAGCTGGAATTCACCTTGATTTATGGATTGTGTTTTCCCAGGTTCAGGAAGACCTGAGTCACAAGTGTAAGTGGACAATTTCCAGTTATACCATCTTATTTCAGTCAAGAAGCACGTTGAAGATGGGCGAAGAAAAGTTCGTTACAAAATGGATCCTTCATCCACCAACTCCTTGTGTACTTAACCTTTTTTGGAAAGATTTTTGATTAAAGGGATATCACATCATGAGCCCTCATCAGTACATCCTGCACCCCAGGACAATACTGCTTACTCCTTCATGAATCTCTCTCTCTCTCCTTAGCTCCAGGAACACAAGAGCACCTGGGATGTCCCCTGTTCCTCACAAG